CGGGGCAGATTAACCTAAATTGTGAGCATAAACCAAGTTATTTCATATTTTCATTGCTGCGGATGAAAGCTGTTGAGATGTTGAGACTGGTGTGTGTGTGTGTTGCGTGTGTGTGACGTAAGCAGCGCGCGACCGCTTGAATGAATGCCTGTAACGCGCTTCAAGTTAACATCTGAGATCGTACAATAAGGTAGAAATTGAGCGTGTTCCTCATTTTTGTAATGCCTTGTTTATAGCTGAATTGATTTCATTGCGTGTCCCAGTGTCTTTCAATAGCTATTCTCCTGGCAGGGAATCTCAGTCACCATAGCCTGAACGCGGCTAAACTGCAGTAGTTAAAAGGGAAATAAAAGGTGGATAAAGAATAGTGTTGAGCGTGTTCCTCAATCTTCTTATCAAAGCCTTATTATTCATAGTTTGCTTTCAATGCGTGTCCCATTGTTATGCCATGCTATTCGATTCCCTGAGTTAAACATTACGAGATAATGCTTGCCTGCCTGTGTCTGTTCACAAAGTAAATTTAATTTCGCTTAACACTGCGTGTAAGTGAATATTAACATTAACTTAGCATCAACAGCGAAGAAAACCTGTTGTGTTTACTTGTCCACAGAAACTGGCACAGAGATTTAAAGATCTGCTGAGATCGTTATCACTGGTGCCCCTAACTGCAGCACAAAGCTGCTATTTGAATAAAGTTAAACTTAACCCCGAACGAACCGAGAGTTTAAGCGCCACATCGCAAAATCAACCAAAAGCGGTGTTGTTATTTGTACTGTGTTGAAATGCGCCAACATTTCTTGTAATATGCTTAATATGGTGGAGTTCCCTTTAAAATCTTAAATGATTCCCTTTGAGCTAAATTATTGACCTGTTTCCCTTTACATAAATATCTATGAAGTATTTCAGTCAGGTTTCAGGCCTCATCATAGCACAGAAACTGCACTTCTTAAAATTACAAATGACTTGGTTCTTGTGTCAGACCAAGGCTGCATCTCATTACTAGTTTTACTTGATCTTAGTGCTGCATTCGACACCATTGTTCATAACATACTTATAGATTGATTACAAATCCATATGAGTATTCATGGGCAGGCTTTAAGATGGTTTAGATCCTACCTGTCCGACCGTTACCACTTTTTTAATTTAAACAGGTAATCATCTCAGTTAACGCCAGTAAAGTATGGAGTGCCACAAGGATCTGTCTTAGGCCCTCTGCTATTTTCAATATACATGTTGCCCCTTAGTAATTTTATTAGAAAATATGGGATTAGGTGGCATTGTTATGCTGATGATACTCAACTATATATTTCAACAAGACCAGATGCAACTTCTAAATTATTTAAGCTAAAAGAGTGTGTTAAAAATATAAAAGATTGGGTAACCAATAATTAATTAATGGGTAACCAGTAATTAAAACAAGATTAAAGACACATCTCTTTAGCCAAGCATTCACATAGTTTATCTCATAACCTTGTACTCTAGTTATACTTGATTAAATGCATATTATCATTATTTGCTTGGTTTGAACAGCAGCTACGCTAATTTTTCTTTATTTGCCTCTATGTTTCTGCTTCGGGATGGGAATCCCGAGGTAACTAGGAATTACACAAGCTGCAGTCTGGATCCAGCCCTCACAGAGATCTGAGATGACCAAACACCTGAGAAGAGACCATGCCATCCCCTCCGAAGACCTCAGATGAGGCCAACCCTGAACCAACATACAAAACTACCAAATGTTCCTATAAGTTTGATTGATTGAATGCGTCATTAACTAAATGCATGATTTTTTTTCTGTACATATCTGCCATATGGACATCACCTTGACAGTCACCACTGATAAGCTACTCAAAAATGTAATGTAGAAATTTCATTTTCTGTGAAGCTGATTTGCAACAATTTGTAGTGTGAAAAGCACTGTACAAAAAATAAATAAACAAATAAAACCTTGTTTGTGACTCCTGTGCTGGGAGTCTGGGACTCACATAAATTAAAAATAAATGATTTTTTAAATAAACAACATGAAAATTTAAACATAGATGGCAGGAGGACAAATTTGAAAAAAAAAATCTATCTATCTATCTCCAAAGGTTCCAGGAGTTTGAATATTCAATGCATGTTGTCATGGCAGAGCAGGACTCATCATGCAAAATTCATACCTCTGGATACAAACAGATATTGCACAGTAATCAAGCAACTAACATTTCACCAGATTGACTGAGATGATGGATAATGGTGGGAGGTTATCTTTCAATCTTGACTGAAAGTACTGAGGCGGTACAGTGTGAAACATAATTCTGTGCCTGGCCTTCAGCAATTTTATTTTCTAAGTAATTAATATTTCTTAAGGGGACATTCAGAGAGTTTCGGTGAACTGTCAAGGTCTTTCTTTAAGTTTAACTTGGTATATATTCCCTCTTTGCCAGCTCGATAAAAGAGCTCATTCTTAAAACCAGCGGCGTTCAATAAAAGGGATTACTGAGCCAACCTCACTCATTTTGACTCGCTGTTGGAGAAATGGTCACTTAGCATGTTCAGACTTTAGGAAAACACTCCAGGCACTGCTAAGCCATGAGATCAAAGGTAAAGATTTCTGAAAAATAATTAGAATACTTTAAGTAATATCACTTTTTCTGTACTTTCTTATTGTCTCCAAGCAAAGTTAAAATTCTAAATGTTTTAACATTTGCCACATAAAAAAACAAACAAAACAATTATAACACAAAATTCATTGCATCCTTTAAAATGAAGAAATAAAGCATATATTGCTATTTTGAATACAGTCAAAACAAAAGTGCATTAGAAAAATAATCTGAAAAATGTATTTTCATAATTTTTCATACACACTCATGGATGATTGACGGAGGCCTACAGTTTCCAAAGCCAGCATCTCTTTAGATGTATAGGTTATGCCCAAGGCTCCATCTTTCATTCCTGATGCACTTTTACATAATCTTTCCAAAGAAGCCTCTGTTACCATTCCAGCTGATACAATTAATGAATATCAGGCTTGCCTCATTAATAATCACTTTTAGAATGAAAACCGACAATAAATGCTTTGATACTCTTAGATTTATGAATGCTTCATGTATTAAATCT